TATATATATATATATATATATATATATATCGAATGACGATTTTCGTTGTCTCTGCTAGGGTTTCACATGGCGATTTCTGTCGTCTATGATTCAGTCGTGCTCGAAGGAGAAGTGCTCGTACCTCATCCCTCCGTTTTAACCTTCGCCTACTGCATTTCGTCGTCTCTCCGCTTTCGTCATTTCGTGTCTTCAGATTCGTCTGTTTCGACGCCGAGCTTCTGTCGGCTCGCGTCTTCGCGTCTCCCTGCTTTCCCTCTTCGTGTCTCCTGCTACGTCCGCGACATCGGAGCGTCGTAGCAGGTTGACTCTCCCTGTTTTGATGGGTGCTCCCTCCTTTGGTTGAACTCGACAAAACCTCCTTCGCCCATGTGGTGGGTAATCATCTGGTGAAGTCGGCTGTTGTCTTTCCCTCAAGTTATATGGAATGTCGTGATGGTACACGTGACTGCCATTTTGTTAAGAAGACAAGTTAGAAATGTGAGAAAACAATACTCTTTTTCTCTGATTTAGAAATTTCAACATTGACTGAAAAATGTAAGTTCACTCTTATTGGAATATTTCAGTAGGGGCACCCGCCTATGGAAGTTTTCATAAAGAGTTTTATTGATCTCAAACTAGTAGGCAAATGAAAAGTGAGACTCTTTGATGAGAGACATATGTTGAAAAGACAAGTGAAAAGTTGCCGTTTTGTTAAGAAGACAGGTAGGGAAGGTGGGAAAATAACATTTTTTTTCTCTGCTTTAGAAATTTCAACATTGACTGAAAAATGTAAGTTCGCTCTTATTGGAATATTTCAGTGGGGTCACCCACCTATGGAAGTTATCATAAAGAGTTTTATTGATCTCAAACTAGTAGGTAAGTGAAAAGTTAGACTCTTTGATGGGAGACATGTGTTGATTTAGTTAACCATAGCTGAAGACTACCATCAGATTTTATCTAAAAAATATCCTAACATTGCAGGAAAGTTAATGAAGTTACTCAAGTGGTCTTCTGATTTTGACCCAAACCCTGAATCTGCCACTGTACCAGTATGATTTAGTTTACGTAGTTTCAAGCTGCATTTTTTTAATCACCAGGTTCTCTACTCTATTAGGGTCATACTTGTGGATCCTATAAAGTAAGATCTACTCACCTTCAATCTAACCAGATTTTCTGTTGCAAGAATACTTGTGAAAAGAGTATCACTTTAACTGATATTACAGAAGTTTGGCTGGACACAACACATAATGGATATTGACAATAAATTTTCATGGAACATACATTTTTATTATACCCAGTGTAAGATGTTTGGGCATACCATTGACAAATGTCACAGACTCCATCCTAACTTGAAATCTAAAGCTCAAGTGCATAAGGATGGGTCTAACACCACTGCTCTGGACACATCTACTCCACCTGTGGAGGAAATTACCACAAGATAGGAATTGTTGTTTGATTTAATTGCCCTTGAGGCGCCCCCCTGACAAAACTGTTTCTGTTTCTGTGATTGATGTATTGCTAGATGGTTTGCTGGGCAACCTACACCTTCAAATCTTATTGAAAACAATACTGAAGGATCCTTACCTACAAAGGATAATGTTCAGACCGATAATCAGGAGAGCCTTACAGTTCCCCATCTTCAAGAAGTATCCGATACAGAGGCGACAATTCATACTTCACATACATTAGAACCTATTGTGGTTACAACATTTGACAATTTTTCTACTGCGGTTTTACCACCTCATCCGAATGAGCAAGTCGTTACTGTTAGTCAGGCGTAAGGGACTCATCAGCTTATACATGTCTGACAATCTGTTGACCAACACATTGATCAAATGAGCCAGTTTTTGAATGAGGAATGACATGTTTACACATCCAGGATGAATAAAAAGAATGAAGACCTACTTGAGCTCAATAATCTAATGAATGATACATTGGTTAGTTCGGGTAATGACACGCAACTCACTAATTTGTTAGGTGGCTCCATTCCTAGAAGAGATAGAGACATGACTAAATTGAGTCGTCCTTAACTTTTTGCGCCTTTTGGTGGTTTTGGTTTTTGGTCTTACATGTTTCTTTTCTTTTTTTGGGATTTTTGTGTGTTGTACTGTGCGAATAGGGTGCACTTTTTGGTCCCACTCATGCAACCTATCTGTATCTTTTCCATTTTAATATATTATTTATATCGCCCAAATAAAAATTTCATTGATAGGGGGAAGATACAAATGTTTTAGTGAGCGGGTGCTAGGAAACCCTCTTACAAGGCAACAAGACTCGAAAAGGTAACAAAAATTACAAATATACCCCAAAAAAGACAGGACAAACTTCCCAAACAGATAAAAACTTTTTGAGAGGAGGCTTTATGATTGGGGTGAAGTATCAGAATTCCACCAGAGAGCTTAATCATGGTGAGTGGGCTTTCTTCTCTCCCTGGTTCTAGAGAGGGAGTCAAGCACCAAACTGTGATGAGGGCTTCCACCCGAAACGAGCAAAGTATCCTCTTGTAAATGCTTGAGTTCATTTAAACTTTTTTTCTTCTTCTTGGTTTTGTAAACTTGCCAAACATCTTCCAAGGGTTGTCCCAACTTATCACTGAGTTGATTATTAATGGGGGCAATTTCTACTGGTTGCACACCTTGAACATGACACTCTACTAAGGTTTGAGGGCCCTTAACATTAGCAATAATTGTTTCCATAACACATGGAGCATCATCTGTCACCAAAACGCGAGTATTCTCATCTTCAACAATATGATGAGGCCGAGGTAGCGAGGGGTGCTCCTCTAGGGCAAAATCAGTGGCAATATCCTCTCTAGTTGCAATTTCTACCATATCAGCCGGTGGAATATGTGCTTCTTGACTATTTAGGTGAGGTAGTTGAGGTTGGGGTCTCAAATTAGGATGGAGCCTGAAACATTTTTTCAGTGCGTGACCAAACATCTTACAATGGGTGCAATAATATGGTCTTTGTTCCATGACAATCTGTTGCTAATACCCATTATGTACAGTGCTAAGCTAAATTTCTTCAATGTCAGGTAATGTAATATCTCTCTCCACAATGATCCTGACAACAGAAGACCTGGTGAGATTAAAAGTGGGTAAGTCTAATTTCACTGGTCTCCCAAACATGACTCGAATGGAATAAAGGACTTGATGGTTGAAAAGATGCAACTTAAGCATAAGTATAGCTTAAACCATATTGGTATTATAGGTAATTCTTAGTTTGGATCAAATTCAGGAGACCACTAGAGAAACTTCATAGTTTTCCTTTCAATAGTGAGGTATTTCTTGGAGAAAATCCTAGCACAGTCTTCGTCTGTAGCCAATTGTATCATCACATGTCTTACATCAAAGAGACCCACCTTTTATTGTCTTAGAGGTTTGAGATCCTTAAAATTTTTGCGAATAACCTCAATTTTGGAATGCCCCAACTGAAGTTTCCTAATGAGTGTGAATTTGAATTCTTCAACCCGAGTAGAGACTTCAAGGTCTGAAAAAGTAAGAGTGGTCTTACCACTCTTCCTACAAACCGTCTTAACAAACGGTCAGTCGACTTTCCTTTCAAGAGAATTATTGTAGATTTGAGGAAACACCACATGACCTACAACCTTCTCAGAGTCTAGTTCTTTACCAAGCACCTCAACAAAGGATTCTTTGCCTAGGTACTGATTTGAGGGAGAAAAAGCCATCGAAGCAGCAGACAAAAAATAGAGAAACCCGTTGAACGTCTGAAAAGGAGAGAAGATGTTGACGTGAGCGCGTAGACGGGGCAATGGGGCGATCAATGCGATCCTCTACCCTCTTCTTCGAGATGAGGTGACGTCCGTGCGTTGTTTTTAAGTGTAGTTTCTTTCTCGTGCCGCATAATTGAGGGGATTCTGTCGGGTTCCTTATACATCCCATCGGCCCCTGGCATACATCACATTCGTCGTCATCCATTTCTCTTTTATTTACATTGGATTTTTTCTTTTCTTTCTCTCATGTTTAGGATCGTGTATGGTCTTTTTTGTTGATCTCTGTTAGGTGTTCATCTATTCCTGTTTCATTAGAGCCTCTTTGATTTTCAAATTCGCTTGAAACAACTTCTTTTAGAACCTTGATTGACCTCCCTTGTGAGGTCACCTTCTCCTTCCATTGTGGTCCCTGATGCTTTTAAGACTGCTCATCTTATTTTCTCCTTCGTGGTTGAGCCTCTTCTGCCTCAATCTCTGCGCTCTTTTGTGAATGCTTTTTGTCGTATGAAAGTGGAGGTTGTTTTCCTTTCCCCACTTAACAATATTGCTCTTTTTTTCCCCAAAACCTATAGACTCCTCAACATAAAGAACTTTAATTTTTTCAAGGCTAGTCTATTATACTTTTTTCTGAAGAGGATATTCTTATGTATGCTCGGACTGCT